AATTTTACCTATCATATATATATATAGATATATTATCTTTCAATAAAATATTTCAATAAATAAAATCAGGTTTGTATACATACTTTCAACTGCATGTACATAATATCAACTACAAACATTTAGTTTGATAATGTATACACTAGACTGTTATAGAGTTCTGCCTCAATGTATACGAATTCATGTTTCACATTAAATAAGAATTAAATACTTCTTCGATTTGAATACCGAGGTGAGTTTGCATGTGTTGAAATCGCTGTTGTAGGTAGAAAATCTTTAATATAGAAATTATTATCCATTAATAGCTACAATTGATCATTTTCAAACTCATCATCGTTTTTTAGTTCACTCATTTCCTCCAAGGGTTTCACACTATTGTTGCAATCTTCGTCACTTTCTACATATCTTCTCTTTTAAGAATGAACTACTCTTATCAATTGAAATATAATTTAAAAAAACACACACAAAAAATGTAAAAAAAATTTATAATCTTGCATCCAACTACAAGATAAAGAATCTAGAAACCCTCAATTTTTTTCGACAAAAATGGAAACAATCAATATAAATAAAAAATCATGTGATTTGAGTTACTAACTGTGAAGAGTTATTGTTGTAAGATCTCTAATGCAAGTATTTTAGAGAAGATAGAAATTCTAAAACTTGAAAGAGGTAGAAAATGAAAGAAAGAGAATAAGAAGGGAGTTGAAAATACTTGACTCTTTTATACATAAAGTAGTGTTTCTATTACAAATTCATTTAATTGTGTGGATGTTTCTTTTCAATCTACACCTAAAGTAATGTCCCATTTAATGTATCACTTAAAGAGCTTCTAACGTATTTGCTTAACATTGTAAACATGTGATTTCTTCATCCTATAAAAGGGTATGCTTCACCCTTGTGAAAGACAACACTTGAAGATATTTATACTTTTCATCACTATTTTGTCTCCCTATATTGTTTAGTATTCTTATATTTTCCTCTTGTTTTATAAAACGTTATCAGCACGAGTCTCTAACCAATTGAGACCTACTTAATTCGGGATTATCTTTTTTTTCTTCTAAAAGTTAATCAATTTTCATTTAGAGTCAGTTTTCATCATGTCAAATTTGTCAAAACTTGAATTCGTGACACTTGACATTTCTGGAAAGAACTATTTGTCATGGGTACTTGATGCTGAAATTCACCTTCCCGCTAAGGGTCTTGGTGATAGTATAATAGAAGGGAATAATGCATCAAGCCAGAATAAAGCGAAGTCTATGATTTTCCTTTGTCATCATCTTGATGAAAGCCTGAAGGTTGAATACTTTACAGTAAAAGATCCACTTGATTTGTGGATAGGTTTGAAGGGGAGGTATGAACACCTCAAGACAACTGTATTGCCAAGGGCTCGTTATAAGTGGATGCACTTACGGTTTCAATATTATAAAACTGTAATTGTGTATAACTCTGATGTATTTAGAATCACTTCCCAATTGAAATTATGTGGGGAAACTATAAAAGATGAGGACATGTTGGAAAAGACACTAACTACTTTCCATGCCTCTAATATGATATTACAACAGTAATACCGTGAAAAAGGTTTTTAGAAATACTCTGAATTGATCTCATGCATTTTTGTGGCTGAGCAACAAAATGACCTTTTAATGAGAAATCCTGAAGCCTGTCCCACTGGAAGTGCTCCATTATCGGAAGCACATGGGATAGAAGAACACGACCAGTCTGAAATACGACAAAATAATCGGGGACATGATAATGTGCGTGGGCATGACAAAGGTAAAAGACGATATAATAATCGTCGAGGTAGTGGTCATAACAAAAGGGAGAACAATATGGTTCTCAAAATAATCCTTCAAAAGGCAAGGGCGATCACTGTTATCGTTGTGGCCTTAAAGGTCACTGTAAAAATGAATGTCGGGCACCTAAGCATTTTTTTAGGTTGTATCAAAATTTCTTTAAAAGGAAAGGGAATAAAGGCGGTGCCGCCTCTTCTAATGCCCGAGTAGAGTCACATTTGACTCTCAAAGATGATGTTAAGGCAGGATCTTCTCAAAAATATGATGAGAATGTTGAGGCAAATTTAGCATTAAAAGATGATGCTTTTGATGGGCTCGATGATATTACTCATCTAAAAGCTGAGGACTTCTTTGGGGATCACAACTAAAGATTGATAATTTAACTGGGAAATGAATAATGTTGTTATGTGTTTTTAATGTCTTACTTAAAGTTCATGTACTTAAATTTTCTTTTGTTAAGTTTCGTACTTCTTATTATTTATTTTTATTTTTATGAAGATAAATAAAATTTTCCAGTCTTCAGTTGGATCCAAGATGAGTAATGGAGATATGTGCCTTCTGGACAGTGCCACAACTTATACGATACTGAGAGAAAAGAAATATTTCTCTCATTTTGATTATGAAAAAGGCATATGTTAATACAGTATCTAGTAGTACAAAGTTGATTGAGGGCTCTGGAAGAGCGGCCTTATTACTACCCAGAGGAACATTATTGGTAATCGATAATGCATTGTATTGTAGTAAGTCTCAAAGAAACTTGTTAAGTTTCAAGGTTATTCGCCAAAATGGCTATCATGTTGAATACCTTTATATTATTACAATAAATGCGGAGAAGAAAACTGTACATGAAAAATTACCTGCACTTTCTTCTGGGTTGTACCATACAAATATTGGTACGGTTGAATCACATGTCATAGTAAACAAAAGGTTTACTGGTATTAATGATTTATCATTTGGCATGACCGGTTGGGTCATCCCGATTATAATATGATGCGCAAAATAATTGAGAATTCACATGGGCATACTTTGAAGAACCAAAATGCAATTCAATAAAAAATATTCTCTTGTACTGCTTGTCTCAAGGAAAGTTGGTTATCAAACCATCAGTGGCTAAGGTTGAGGTGGAATCCCCTGTATTTCTGGAACGGATACAGGGTGATATATGTGGACTTATTCACTCTGCATGTGGACCATTTAAATATTATATGGTCTTGATAGATGCATCTACAAGATGGTCACATGTGTGCTTATTGTCAACTCGCAATATGGCTTTTGCGAGGTTGTTGGCTCAAATAATAAGGTTAAAAATTCAATTTTCAGATTATGCAATAAAGACAATTCGTCTGGATAATGCTGGTGAGTTTACATCTCAGGCATTTAATGATTATTGTTTGTCCACCGGAATAACAATTGAACATCATGTTGCACATGTTCATACTCAAAATGGTCTAGCGGAGTCATTGATTAAACGTCTCCAATTGATAGCTAGATTATTGTTGATGGGGACAAAGTTGCCTGCTTCAGTATGGAGGCATGCTCTTTTGCATGCAGCAACACTTGTGCGCATAAGGCCAACTAATTATTATGACATCTCCCCATTACAATTGGTTTTTGGTCAGGAACTAAATATTTCCCATCTTAGAATCTTTGGTTGTGCGGTATATGTTCCAATTGCTCCACCACAATGAACAAAGATGGGTCCCCAGAGAAGGTTGGGGGGATATATGTTGGGTATGAATCTCGTTCTATTATAAAATATTTGGAATCTAGAACTGGAGATTTATTTACGGCAAGGTTTGTTGATTGTCATTTTGATGAATCAGTATACCCAACATTAGGAGGAGAACAAAAGCAGTTGGGAAATGAGATAGATTGGAATTCACTTTCACTGTCTCATTTAGATCCTCGAACAAATCAATGTGAGCAAGAAGTTCAAAAGATAATTTATTTGCAGAATATTGTAAATCAATTGCCGGATGCATTTACTAACTTTCCACGGGTTACTAAATCATATATCCCAGCTGTTAATGCTCAAGTTCGAGTTGATGTCCCATTAGGACAAAATGTTAAGGCAAACGAGTCTAGACCACGCTTAAAACATGGTAGACCAATTAGTTTCAAGGATAATAATCCTCGAAAAATGAAAGGAATAAATGATCAAGATGAACATAATATGGAGGCAATTGCTTATGAAGAGCTCCGAGATATAATAAATGATGACACCACTTAGGAGGTACATGTACCTGAAAATAATGAGAATGAAGAAATCTCTATAAATTATGTCTCGACGAGAAAAAGGTGGAATTGAAATAATATTGTGGTGGATAATATTTTTGCCTATATGTTGTAGTTGAAATAATGCAACAAGATGAGGATTTGGAATCAAGATTTGTCAATGAATGTAAATAGAGAGATGATTGGTCAAAATAGAAGGAAGCAATTCAAACAGAATTGGCTTCACTTGAAAAGCGTGAAGATTTCAGACCAATAATCTGAACACCTGAAGGTGTCAAACCAGTGGGGTACAAATGAGTTTTTGTGCGAAAACACAATGAAAATGGTAAAGTCGTAAGATATAAAGCATGACTTGTGGCACAAGGATTATTGCAAAGGCCTGACATTGATTATGAGGAGACATATTCTCCTGTGGTAGATGCAATTACCTTCAGGTATCTGATAAATATGACAGTTCATGAAAAGCTTGAAATGCATCTAATAGACGTTGTCACAGCCTATTTATATGGCTCACTAGACTATAATATTTTTATGAAAATCCCTGAAGCACTCAAAGTGCCTGAAGCATATAAAATTTCAAAAAAAGTTGTTCAATAAAGCTTCAGAAATCCTTATATTGATTGAAACAATCAGGGTGAATGTGGTATAATCGTCTTAGCTAATACTTGCTAAAGGAAGGGTATAAGAATGACCCTATTTGTCCTTTTATTTTTATACGAAGGTTAAAATCTGAATTTGTAATAGTATATGTTTATGTTGATGACTTGAACATCATTGGAATTCCTAAAGAGCTTTCAAAAGTCGTTGAGTGTTTGAAGAAAGAATTTGAAATGAAAGATCTTGGTAAGACAAATTTTTTTCTTGGCCTTCAGATTGAACATTTGACAAATGTAATATTTATCCATTAATCAACATATACTGAAAAGGTTTTGAAGCAATTTTACATGGATAAAGCACACCCATTTGAGTATCCCGATGGTTGTGAGATCTTTTGATATAAATAAAGATTCATTCCGACCTCAAGAAAATGATGAAGAGCTTCTTGGTGATGAAACTCCATATCTCAGTGCTATTGGGGAACTAATGTACCTTGCAACTAATATTCGACCAGATATTTATTTCGCAATAAGTTTATTGGCGAGATTCAGCTCATGTCCAACAAGAAGACATTGGAAAGGTGTTAAGCATATATTCAGATATCTTCAAGAAACAGTTGATATGGGATTGTCATATTCTAATGCATCAAGTCAAAATTGATCGGTTATGCAGATGCTGGCTATTTGTCTGACCCACATAAAGCCCAATCTCAGACAGGCTATTTATTCACATATGGCGGTACATCTATATAATGACGTTCGATGAAGCAAACAATAGTTGCTACTTCTTCAAATCATGCAGAGATAATAGCCATTCATGAAGCCAGTCGAGAGTGTGTATGATTGAGATCAATGACTCAACACATTTTGCAATTATGCAGTTTTTCTGTTCAAACAAAGACTCCAACAATGTTGTATGAAGATAATGTTGCTTTCATAGCTCAATTAAAGGCAGGATATATCAAAGGAGACCGAACAAAACATATTTTACCTAAGTTCTTTTTCACACATGATGTTCAACAAAATGGTGAGATAAATGTTCAACAGATTCGTTCGAGCGATAATCTTGCAGATTTATTCACTAAAGCATTGCCAACGTCAATATTTGAGAAGCTAAGATATAATATTGGAATGCATCGTCTCCAAGATATCAAATAAAGTTTTCATCAGGGGGAGTAAAATACGTGTTGTACTCTTTTTCCTTTAACCAAGGTTTTGTCCCGTTGGGTTTTTCTGGTAAGGCTTTTAATGAGGCAGCACTCAAGGTGTATTACAAGATGTGTGTACTCTTTTTCCTTCACTAGGCTTTTTCCCACTGGATTTTTCCTAGTAAGGTTTTAACGAGGCACATTATCTATAAACATCCAAGGGGGAGTGTTACAAATTCATTTAATTGTGTGGATGTTTCTTTTCAATCTACACCTAACGTAATGTCCCATTTAATGTAACACTTAAAGAGCTTCTAACGTATTTGCTTAACATTGTAAACGGGTGATTTCTTCATCCTATAAATGGGTATGCTTTACCCTTGTGAAAGACAACACTCGAAGAGATTTATACTTTTCATCACAATTTTGTCTCCCTATATTGTTTAGTATTTTTATATTTTCCTCTTGCTTTCTTTCAGAACCTTGTTACTTTTAAGCTGTCTTTTCGCCTGAGGCTTTCGGAAAAGACTACTTACTCCAGTAGGTTAGTAAGTTCTGAGAAAGATTTATCATCCGAAAAGAGGAAAAAATGGAGTCTTTGTCTAAAGAAATGCGTTGAGAAAGGGCAGATGTATAGAACCTTTCAACGAGATAGTGCTTTTTCAACTCTCTCAAAATTTTACAAAAGTTTTCCTATTTTTGTGTAACTGTTTTAGGTTTGATGAGCAAAAACAGTTGACAAATAATGATGAGATAAAACAAAAAAGAACAATGATGAACGTGTCTAGGAAATAGAAAGAGAAAATTAGAAAAAAATTAATTTTCAAGAAAAATAAATATGACTATCTAATGCCAAATAAATATTTAAAAAGTCTTTTTTGCCAAAAAAATTTCTATTAAAAATGAGCAATTCATTGCCAATTAAAGTTATAGGTTGTCAACTTGTCATGCTATGCAAATTTTTCTATATTTTTCAGTATATAAATAATTCAAACAGGGGTAGATTTTACTTTAATCCAATAGGTTTCAATCTCATTAATCAAAATTCTAATGGGTAGATCCATTGAAAGAAGAAAACACTCTTTACTAAAAGATTTTTTATTTTCAAAACTCAAATTCTAAATATTTGATTAAGGATACAAAGGTTTCACCTAATCCAACCACACAACTCGATGGTAATTCAATAAGAGAAGGAAATTTTACCAGTTTAGTTGATTGATTATCTAAACTTTTATTTTATTAGTAAAATTGATTAATTCTCACCTTACATTTTTTTTGGTCTGTGGTGCTTACACTTGAGTCCAACTATTCCAAATTCACGTTGCATAAGGCCCCATTCAAAAAAGACACTCTCTATCAAAGATTTTTTTCATACCAGCAAACTCCGATAAAATTTAAGCACATAATGATTTGAGATTGTGTAAATGCGGCATTAAAAGCAAAGAAAAGAAATGATGAATTCATATTAGGGATGTCAGACGTGAAACATAGAGATCATGAAGAAGAGATTCTTCCAAGAAACTCAGAAATCAAAAGCTAAATACATAACCTTACACGGTCCCTCATGACTTCTTTTCATTCCAAGTCTTTGTCAACTTTAACACTGAGTTGTTTGATAGTCGGATAAGAAATAAATTATATATATATATATATATATATATTATTTTTTATATAACTTATATGATATTTGGTAAAGATAGATAAAAAAAAAAAATTATGTATAAAATTAATACGATGTTTAGTTGACCATTTAGAAACTCGCATAACTAACAATATACATGTTTAAGTTATAAGGGAATCTATAATATTATTTTATATGAAATAAAAGGTGAAATAACTAATATATGAAAAGCTAATCATTACATAACTAATCTCTATATTACTAATACATGCATAACTCGATCTAGCGGGGATGTACCTTTGTCCTCTTTCAAATTTGTGCACTAAAATGATCAACTTGGACAATAAAAAAAAAGTTAACACTGTGGACTAGCTGGTTGGGGTGTGGGCCTTCAAGTCACATATGGATATTTAATTGTATAGTATAACTTACATATAAATACTAGTGTAAAACTTAAATTACCTTCTATCCCTATTATTTTTGTAATTACATAAATTTCATATTTTTTAGGTATTTCGAATACATAATTAAGGATCCGGATACATTATTGTTGATACATTATGTATCAATCTGTTGCACTTATTAAGGGGAAAAAAAGCTGGAAAATCAAATTAAGATCTCATAGCATCCATTTGTTGCACTAATTAAGGGGGAAAAAAATTGAAAATTAAATTAAGATCCCATAAATTACGATATTTCATCCCAAATTATTGTCAAGAATTCAAAATCCTATAGTGTAACAAACCAAAAGATTCAAAAATTAAATTTCTTCTTCTTGTTCATCGTTCTCTCTGTTTCATAAAAAAATTTGTCGAAATTTTGGATAAGCGAGGTGAGTTATGAAGGATACAAAAGTGATGGAATTGTTGTTGGACAAACGATTTCTTTTGTGAATCTTCAAGTTCATCGAATATCATTTCGGTTTTGATTCAAGATTGTCGAAAATTTTGAGATTCAAAATTCTTCTCCAGTTCATTGAAGATCCTTTCCGTTTTGATTCAAAATTGTTGAAAATTTTGAGTTTCAAAATTATTCTCCTAGTTCATTGAGGATTCTTTCAATTTTGATTTAAAATTATCAAAAATTTTGAGAAGATACATAATGAAGATCCTTTCAATTTAAATTGATAAGTATTGTATTTCTACTAGATACATTAAATAAGAAAGTGTTGCCTATAAGATTTTAGGTTTGAGATCGATATATTATTATTTGGTAATTGTTATGTATCAGATACATTTAGTATAAATTCAAATTTACGTATCATAATTAAAATGTTAGTGCATGATACATTATTATTTATGTATCTTATTTTGTTTGAGAAATACTATATTTTAAAATA